ATAAATGCTGTAAGAAGTACTAGGAGTTAGAATCAGAAAACCTGATTCAAAATTGCAAATTCTCAACCACCTACTTTTGCTATCTCTATGACTTCAGATAAGTCATTTAATTATTCTGGAGCTCAATTAATTCACCTAAAAAACTGGTTATTATGAAGACAGTTATTACTACATATTATTTAACAGCCATTTCCCCCATCTTCCTTACCAAGAGAACCATGATTTTACTCAGGTATCGGGTAGATAGCAAAGTGCTCAGAGGAAGGTAGGCCCAGCCCAAGGGTTCAACCACAAGTGGTCTAAACCCATCGTGGCAATCCCATTCCCATCTTTCAGTGACTGGTGTGCAGGAAATCAAGTTACCCAGCTGTGGTCAAGGAAGTCTGCTCCAGAGCTTCTTAGGTGTCTGTCATATAGTAACAACTCAACTGGATATTAGCTAGCTATTAACTGGCTATTAGTTAACTAATATGACTACATGAAGGTCCTTTATAAGCTATAAAGAACTATGCATGAGCTGGTAATTACGTATCTTGATCACTTTTTATTTATTAAGTTCTGGTTTCAAAGGTATGCCTAAGTGAAAAGACTTATAAATCTTAATTTCTGTTCTCAATGAGTTTATAATCCAGCTAAGGCAAAGATAACTAACACGAGGTAATAAACTATAAAATGAATGATGCTTTTCTTTCCATCTGTCAAAAGTAAAAGAGATTATTACGATCGAAGAAAGTTTCACAAAGGAGATGGGAATTCACCATCTCCTATTCACCAGGGACTAGAGAATAGGCAGGTTGGCAAAAGAGAGGAACGCCACAAACAAATTCATGGATATATGGGGTATGAAAGGCATTTAAACACTTGGTATTGTTAGGGAAGTACACTTTTCCCCAGTCCTGTTTTTCCTTCTGTGTGGAAAGAACTTAATTCACAAATACTCTGACCTCTCTCAGCCCTTTCACTCACTGTGCCTCAGGGGACATTGTAAAGGTTGCAGTCCGGCCTTCAGGTGCCACTCCTTTATTTTATCTCTCATTCAATTCAGATCTCAGGTGGAGAATACAAGAGCTATTAATCTGGTCCCCTCAGAGACCCCTAAGCATCTGAGACTCTNCCTTACAATCTCTAAACATGAAATTTACAACTGTCTCTCAGTAGTTTGGGAGAATAACAAGGAGTGTCAGAAAATGCAAAATGAGGGCCGTCCAATGATCACAATGCCAACATGGGCCAGTGAAGCAACGTCCTCCACAACTAGACTGAAGAACAAAAGGACAGCAACTTGTCTGTTCCCCTTCCTTGATTACCCAACACTGTTCCCTCCCTCAATTCCCCAATAAAATCTTTAAAAAAAAAGAAAAAAGAAAATGCAAAATGAGTACAAAATCTGATGACTTTTCAAAAGCTCTCTTCATCCCTGCACCCAGATGATTATAAATGACAAACATTTTATTTCCACCTCTTTAGCTGCCAGACTAGTTTGCGGGCTACGGAACAGGCACTATGCCTTAGAGACATTAAAAGATGCACAGCAAAAGAAGGGTTTTAAAGCATTTAACCGAGAAATCCCATGTTCTTTAGGGCTGTTGTTTAAAAGAATTCCCGTAAGAAAAATGTATTTCTATCAATTCCAGGTAAATGAAGCCTCACCTGTTTCAATTCAAATTAGCTGTTTCATTACAAAAGAACAATTCTCTATTATGAAACACTTCAGAAGTGATATGGTTTCTGAAACTGGGGTATGTGTATTCCCAGCAACAGCACCTTAACAGACTTACACAAAAAATACAAACTCTGAAAAATTGGTTCATTATTTGAAAGAGTAGACAAGTAACTATAGCATTCCTTAAAAGACAATCCCCTCCCACCACCAATGAATTTAAACATAATTACATTCATAAAGTTTGGATTGGGTTTACTTACAAACTATTAAGAGCATGTCTAGTGTGTGAAATGAGTCCGTTAGATTTAAATTTTAAAGTAAAATTTCATAAATGTCCAACTATTATCTATGTAGCTGCTAGTCTTAAAATGCTTTCCACGTACCATAATAATCTTTACAAAAGTGCTATGAGCTACATAGTACCCCTGGTTTACAGATGAGGGAGTTGATGCCCAAGATCATGTACCTAGGAAATGATAAAACTAAGACTTGAACCAAGTCCTTTGGATTTTAAATCTTATTATACTAGACGCTTCATGTCATACAAACTGCTAACCAGAAACAGTGGTGTGACCAGACGGGAGGGCTAGAAAGACAGATGTTTTAGTCCAGGACTTGGCTATTCCTATTCCTTGATATGCTCATCTCCCTTCCTCACTTGCCTAATTTCTATTCATTCTTCAGATCATTGCTTAGACCATCCAAGGGTTAGGTGCCCCACTCTGTTCTCCTAGAAGTAAGTTCTCCTGTACTTACAGAGCTATCTTGTGGAAAGCACAGACTGCATTTCGTGTTTACCTAGCTAATGCTCCAACCAGGTTGTAAGGCCCATCGCAGCAAAGACTACTATGTCTTGTTTACTGTCGTGTCCCTTCTGACTAGCATAATGCCAAGCATGGGAGGGGTACTCAAAAAAACATAACAAATGAATGAACCCCAGCTCCCTTACATATTATAAAAATGTGGTAATTCTCATGAGATTATTTTTAAATTAAATGAAATAATGTACCTAAAGTACCTAGAAGAGTGGGCACATAGTGGGCACTTGATAGAGAACAGCTCTTATTATGATCTAGCCAGCAGAGCCATACAAACATCAAATGTACACATCTGGAGGTGAGGTATGGCCAGAAAACAATGCCATCTACAAAAATCTTAAAAATCATCATTCCTGGTTAAATCATCATAGCTAGAGTTTTCAACAAATATTTACTGAGTTCCTATAAGGCACCCTAGGTACAGTGCTGAAGACAAAATAGTTATGTCAAGTTCTAGAAACAAACTAATCATTTCCCAGGGCCTTCACTGAACAGCAGACTTTCTATAGGTGAGACCTTGGTTGGATAAAATGGCTGTGTGGATTATAACACAGGGCAATGTGTATAACGGTGAAGCGTGTTTGTTTCAAACTAGTACTAACACGTAAATGACCAGAGTCCTAAATCAGAGAACCTTTTGTATGAAACTTTGACATTTCACTTTTCAACAACTATGGAAAATGTAACTTCGAAGATACCCAGGGGTCCTCTAATCTAATCTCCACTTGATACACGAATCCCCTTCACTGCTGCATATCACAGAGCACTAATATTAGAATCAAACAAAGCTAGGTTTAAATCTCGGTTCTGCTACTTCTAGAAAAACTGTTTTTACTTCCCCAAATTTCCATTTCGTCTCCGTGAAATGGTAACAATATCTAACTGCAATGTCTGTAAAACACAATAGGTCATCAATAACTACAGCCCCATCTGCTCTCCCTTCCGGATCTTTCACCATCCTGGACACCCTGTTCAGAATGCACTTAAGTTAGAAACACAGCGCCCGGGACTGACCACAACATTAGAACAGTGGTCTGACCAGCTTGAAGCCTAGCAGTATCACCTCATAAAACCCAGATCATGAGGGTCACTCAAACCAAAAAGTATTTACTGAGCACTTACTCATAGCCAGTACTGCAGCTGATGACCAAATTGGCTTCCTTCAGCGCATATTGTACTAGCTTTAGTGCTGAGAGGATAAAATAAAAAGAACTGTCAAGGACAAAACCTAAATGTTTATTTAGGTGGGGCTGAGTCAGGAAGTAGAGCTTATTTTCCTGGGCTCAGGGCCAACAACTTCAGACAGTGTCCTGTAAAACTAATCACTTTGGTGAGGGACCAGAAGAGAAAGAAAATGTGATTGAGGCAACACTTCATGATTAGGGAACTTTTTTCTGTAAAGGGTCACACAGTAACTAGTTTACGATTTGCAGGCCCTGTGGTATCTGAGGGACTACTCAACTCTGCCATTGTAGCGTGAAAGCAGCTGTAGATAATACCTAAACGAATGGGTGTGGTCGTGTTTCAATCAAAACTTATTTACAAAAGCAGATAGATATTGCTTTTGCTAAAGGCAGACAAATGGGTTTCAGTTCTTTTCATATCATTCAGGATGTTCTACTAAGGTCTGGCAGGGTCTGCTGGTTGTTCCCCAATTTCCTCCCCTTCCTCCTGAGCACTGGTCACCCAGAATAAAGACTACATTTTCTGGCTGCTTGCAGCTAGATATGGCCAGCCATGTGACAAGTTCTAGTCAATGTTATGCAAGTAAAACCAAAACATGCAACTTTAGGATTACGGGGGTGGGATGAAAATGATGCCCTTCTCCTGCCCTTTCCTTTTCCTGTAGGAACAGGGAAGGAATTGTTAGAGTTCGGCTCTTTAGGCTGAGGCTGCTTGGTGCACGCAGAAGACGGAGAAATGAGAGAATGAGCATAGGCCCCTGATGATCATCTCAGCTCTGTCCTACCTACAAGAAAAAATTCACCTTTTCCTCTGTCCAAATCAGTTACTTTGCCCTTTCTGTCACCCATCCTAACTAATATACAAGGAAGGAAAAATTAAAAACAGTTTCTTTGTAATTCTTTCTAGTTTTGTACTAATCTGGTCATGAACACAAAGAGTTTTTCTTTGTGATATACTCAAACCACAATCTAATCCAAATATAAACAGCATAAAACCATGTGTGAGTGCAGGTCTACAAGGTCAGCAAAAGCAGCCTAACCAACCCTGGAAATCAAGACAGTCAAGCAGAGCATAACAGCAACATTAGCCCTGTCAAAGGAAAGGGCTGATCACCTCACCTGATGGTGAGCTCGAGCAGCTCCTGGGTGCCCTGAGGGTCCAGGTGCTGAAGGCTGTACACCCTTTCAAGGCTCTGCTGCAGGAACTGATGAGAAGGATCCTCCTGAGGCGTGATGTTGGGGGAAACAGCTGATGACACTAGNGCAGTAATTAAAATCAAATCCCTGCTCTTAGGAGCTTCATTCTAGTGAAAAGACAAAAATACATGACTAAATATATAGATCAGGTAGTGGTAAGTACTACGAAGCAACCATAAAGCCGGGTAAGGAAACAAGCGCTGGGGTAGGTGGGGTGTTTTACACAGGATTATCAAAGGGAACAGCACACACTAAGGCCACGTGTGGAAGCATGTTTGCAAAACAGCAAGGAAGCCAGTGCAGCTGGAGCAGAGGGAGCAAACGGAGAGCAGTGCGAGACGGCGCCCAAGAAGTGGCCTCTTCCCACCCCAACGCCTCCCGCGCCCTCACTAACGTGATTAGAGGTCACCAACACCTTAATGCTACAGTCAGTGGGCATATCCGTTCCACTCTTTGTGATACATCCATAGCATTGTTTGCCACCTCTTTACAACTTTTTAATACAGACAATTTGAAACATGGATAAAAGTAGAAGTAATCAATCCCCGTTTCAACAATTAACTCACAGCCAATCTTGTTTCATCTATACACTTACCCACTCCTCCCAGGTTATTGTAAAACCAATCAGAGAAATCGTAGCATTTCATTGGTAAATATGTCCATAAATATCTCTTTTAAAAAATAATTCATTTTAAAAAACCCCACAAAACCAGTATCGTGCCTAAAAATTTAATAATTCCTTAATATCAAATATCCAGTCAGTACTCAAATTTCCCCAACTGACTACTCAAAAAGTGTTTGCTTGTTCTAATCGGGCTCCAACTAAGGTCCACACATTGCAATTGAGTAATAAGTCCCTTAAGTCTCTTTAAATATGTAAAATCCCATTACATCTCACTATTTCCCCTTGCAATTTCTCCCCTGTATATCCTGTGATGGTAGTTAGATTTAGAGGCTTCACCAGATTCAGGTTCAATTTTTTTTTTTTTAATAAAACCACTTCATAGGTGATACTGTGTTCTTCTCTCAGGAACTATATGATGTCTATTTCTTTTTTGTGATGTGAGTAACCACTGATGTTCACTGCCTATATCTAGTCATTTATTAAAGCTGTAAGACAATGGTATACAAATTCTATCATTCCTCTTCATTTCTATAAAGAGAAACTTCCCCTTCTCAACTAGCTGTTTAACTGGAAGTTTGGTTTCTATAGGGAAAGGGAAGATGTATGCTTGATTCTTTAATCTATCAGTTTTCAAAATAATGAATTGATTACTAAGCATCTTCCAAAGGTGACTAATGCAGTGTTTTGTTTTTTAAGCATCGTTACAAAATCATGAATTTAAACATATTTGCAGTTATAATCTTGAATGATTGCTTCACTTTTGGCCAGTAAGAGGCTATTGAAGTTGTCTCCTGGGTCTTTCTGATATGAGCCTAGATGTCTTTCATAGTTAATATCTGCTTTCTATATGACAAGGTGGTACAAGCTCATCTTGTTCCATTTTCTGCACCAGGACT